ATACACTTGTGGCCACGCAAACCTTATCACTATACTTTATTAAATTTTTTTTCGGACTTTTTCGTTCGTTCGGAATTTTCTTTAATTTGGTTTTTTTTTATGATTTTAGTAAGCATAAGTAAATTATGTACATTATACTATCTAATTGTAAATATAGTTTTTGCACCGAAGCTAAATAACCTTCACATGTGGATTTCTGTTAGTATTCTGTATGTATTCAGTTGGCTATATGCTATAGTTAATCGATCTAAATAATTTCATCGGAGATTACATTGTTGATTTAGAAAATAACCTGTGTCAACTTTTGTGGAAACACATTGTGAAATGTGAAGTTTTTCCATACAAGAACTTGATTCCGATCGTTCAGTTTGTATAGCAGCTATAAGATATAGTGGTCCGTTATCGGCAGTTCCGACAAATGAGCAGCTTCTTGAAGAGAAAATGAAGTTTGCAAAATTTCAAAACGATATCTTAAAAACTGAGGGACTAGTTCGTATATATACAGACAGACAGACGGTCATGGCTAAGTCGACTCAGCTCGACATACTGATCATTTATATATATACTTTATAAGGTATTCGACCCTTCCTTCTGAGTGTTACTCAGTAAGTGTAACCTTAGTATAAACTTAGTATACCCTGTTCAGGGTATAAAAAACAAAAAATATCATTGTTTCATCACATGTCAGCCTCTTACATTTCGAGCTCATTTTGTAAAGCTCACTAACATCCAAATGATTTTGTATATAGCTGAATGTGTTTTGTTTTTAATTTTTAATATTTTTKATCAATAACATGTCATTAACTTATTTCTAAATGAAAAATTTTTATACAAAAGTACCGCTATAAAAGGTAGTCAAATATGGACAATACTTGAAAATGTTGAGCGCTAAGTTTTGCGTGGCCACGAGTGTAATTAATCTCTTATTACAATCTGGCCTTTCAATCATAAAACACTTAACTTTCTGCTTCCCAAGACCAGTCTTATATGATCTACTTTAAGCAAAGATTTGAACTACGTATGGTAACTGGCTAGGTGACTGACGCCATTTTTGGTGTAGTTGTCATCTTGTTTGCATTAACTATCAGTTAGGAAAATATAAATTGAGTCTAGAATTGCATTCATGCGGCTTGCTAAGAGATGACTCAATTTGACTTTTATTCCATTATTCAAATATTAAGATTAATGTCATTATGCATATTTCTCAATATAAAAAATGGTGATTTTTGCATGGAAAACGAAGAATATCCCAGACAGCAAAAAAGTTTGAGGGCGAGGGAGCATTACTCGATGAATAATGTTGCCAAACACAAGATAATCTCGCAGATTTTTTGGCAGTCGATTGAACAGCTATTTCAGAACAGTTAAAAGCGGCAAAGAAATTGAGTGCCATATGAATTAAAGCCAAGTGACGTTGAAAGATAATTTGCATGTATGAATGCTGCTTCATTGCTTCAAAAAGTAGTACTTTTTGCATCGAATTGTGACTAAAGCAGCGGAAAAACCTAATATCCATGAGGTGACGGTATAAGTCTACCAACAATCCAATATTGTATCAGAAGATTTTCAATCAAGTGCCTAAATTTGAAGTTCAAATATCAATCAAGTTGCATGCAGTTAGAACTTTCATTAGAAAATTYTCAAATTCGCTATTCATGCTCTCTCCCACTGACTTCACAATTTACTAAGCCACAATCTAGTGCTGCCACCACAGCCACCACAGCCAACCCTGCCACTAATTCATTTCAACAATGCACACAATCGATGGCTGAAATTGTTTCGTTCAAAACTAATTAATTGGGCGTGTATTGAGGTACACAGACACCACGCCCACATGTTTGTTYAACTTCGCTACCGCCTGGATGCATTTCTTACACGCTGCCACTGTGCGCGCATGCGCCACAACATTGTTTGCTCGCTCGCTTTACTTGCTTGCTTGCTCAGCACAGGAGCGCTCCAATAATAAATGTTGGAAAAGATGTTGAATTAATTAAAACGATTCCGGGCAAATTGCAACACCAGCCAACTGACGTACATACATATATAYAAAGTACCCCTYTGTCGCCTCTCGAACGATATCTCGTTACAYAGCGCCGCCGCTGTCATACCTCAATGCCGCTGGCACAACGCCCACTCTCACAACGCGCTGCCACTGACCGCGTGCCTACCAGTTRGCGTTGCAGGAAGTGGGCGTCTTATTTCCCTATTGCTCTTTAATTTTTTAAATCAACTTTAGATTTCATTAATTAAAAGTATGAATTTTTCAAGTGGAACTTTTTTTCTCTACCGCTTACATATCAACCACTTTTCAATTATACTCATTTGTTAACCGCTTGTTGCCATTTCAGGTTTGGTTTCAGAATCGTCGCGCCAAGTGGCGCAAACAAGAGAAGGTGGGACCGCAATCACATCCATACAACCCGTATTTGCCCAGTGGGCCGGGCGCCATGCAAGCCGTAGTCGGTCCAACATTGCCGCCGAACCCGTTCACGCATCTGGGCTTCAATTTGCGTAAACCATTTGATGCGCCGGCTAATTTGGCCGCCTTTCGTTATCCACACCTGTCGGCGGCGCCAATGTTGCCATCCGGATTTTACAATCAATTTCAAAGGTAAGTTTGAAGTAGTAAAATATTAAATTAATACTAGTTGAAATGTAAAGTCCAGATCTTAAGAGAATAGCGATACATTGCTAATGCTCAAGAAGTGGCTAATAGAAAGATATACATATATTGGTTATTCTGAATTACTTATTACATATATTTTTTTTTTTTTTTTTTTTTTTTTTGATACTTGAAGATCCATTTCTTGCATAAACTTGGGTACTTATATAAAGATCCTATAATACATCACTATTGCAATATATATATAGTGAGGAACGTGCATCTAATAGCCGTACATWATTTTTATTGTTCATTGTAACCGACTACTGATCATCGAAAGTGCCTACAGATATATCAAATCGAAGCAAGTGCTCTGKTATAAATAAAACGGAGTATGTTTTCAAGTATGCTCTGCTCAGTAGCCTCAAAAGAATCTTTTGAACATCCGAATAAAAATAGCATGGCCTTTAATGAGAATACTCTAATGGATACTACCTAAACGAATAAGTTCATAATTGATGTGTATATTCTCTAAAAAAAAATAGTTCAGATAAGGCTTTGCGATCAATCCTCCTAAAGATAAAGTTTTTGAAATGCTTATAATATTAAGGTATAAAGTTTGCATACTACTATGAGCAAAAAATAGTAAGACTTTGTTCATAATTATAAAATTCTTAATTTATTTTTTAAAGTCTATAACGTCCCCCTCAAAGTAATCCCCGTTGGCCCAATGTGTTTATTGACATTCTGGTAGTCGGCTATTATTGTTCTACAGACGCCATGCAGGTTTTCAAAAAAATTTAGTGCTTTTTGTACCAATMGTGCTTTCACTTTTTTAAAGTTCGGATGATATTTCAAAATAGTTTTCACTGATCTTTTCGATATTCCATCCAGTAGGATTTTTGATTGTTATTCGTCTATTCACAAGCAGCAAGTCCTTTATTTCATTGACGTATTGATCATCAGTTGATGTTGATGGCCGTTCTGAACGTGGTTCATCGTCAACGTGTTCGCGAACCCTTTTGAATAATGTGTATCAAGCAAAAACACTTTCCCTCGACAAGCAATTATCACCGAACATATTTTCAAATATTCTGAACGTTTCGGCACCAGAAATTTGATTCCGCACTGAAAATTTAGTGGAACTTCTCACTCATCGTAAAAATCGCCAAATGCACTTACTTAATGTACTTCCAAAAGAAAAGCGTATACTAAMCACTAATGATTGTTTYGATGTGATATTCGGCACAGATAKTGGTGGATACCAAACTAAAAAAAATATTTCGAGGAATGGATTTTCGAGCGAAGTTTACTTAGTCCCATTGCGCTACCGAGYKGTTACCAATTAARCYTTACTTACTGAATATACCAGATCCTTTTCCMACCAAGCTGCCCAATGTCTCTTAAGTTTGACAATTATGAGACTAATGCAGGCTGGGCATTCGCAAAATTAATATTCCGAGTTCACTTTACCAACTTTCTGAAGGTGAGATTGTAGTTGCTTTGTGCTGAGAGCTACAATGTGAGTAGTCTTGCCAAAAAGTAGAATCTTATTGATCTGTACACCATCAACACTATCCCCRCACCTTTACGGTATGCCATGTGTTGCTAGAGTTCTAAGACCTTGCCTAGAGTCCAGTGCTTCAAACAACCCTTGAAAGAGCTGAATGGTTTAGGGTAGCTTGGCGGAATTGTGTTTCCGGCTGCCCATGCGGCCCAACTGCAACTCTACCTTTTTCTTTCCTTCCATTCCTATATGACTTAGTATCTAAATGATTTTCACCTAGTACGAAACYGAGTGTCTAGTTAGTATCTCCTTCCATAACGTATCGCTTACTTTAGGCGTCACGGATAGCCTTAATTGCCATTTGGCTGTCCACTAGAAGATTTGTGGACTTATCGGCTAGAGCAGAAGCTCGCTTAGCACTTTTTTATGCCACTAATTTCAACCCGAAAGACTATATTACAGTCAATTAGTACTACATATAGAAGAAACCCACCCCTGTTGCTATTTCACCCTTTGATCCGTTGGTGAATATATAGATTTCGCCGTTGCAACTATCAATCACAAAACCATTGGTCCATTCTTCTCTACTTCGTAATGAAAACATTGTGTTTTATTCTCACGTATCTCCWTTTCTGAATCGCTTTGCGATTTTGACCTGGATTTCATTACCACGGTCGAGATATGGATACCAATTCATCGAACCCAGACTGGGTATTACCAGATACGRTTTCGACTCGTGACTACAAAAAACCTGTATTCGGTTTCAGTTTACGAACTTCCGAGTTTCTTCTTATATAATTTATCAACCTCTCGGAAGCATATTAAAACTTGTAGTTTCCTGTTTCCTAAAGTTTACAGAGTTTGAAAAGGTTATACTTGACTAAGGTCTCGTTTTGTTCTAAGCGAAGCGTCAAGTGGTTTTCGATAAAAAAAAAAATACACAATTTATGTAACGTACAGTGAACAAAAAATAATTAATTTTTGACAGCTGGGTTATATTATGACATATTTTCAAGAAAATTGTGTCCGAATTGAACCTTCTTTCGCCACGCGCATACACATCTTTGATATTTTAAGAACTAAAGTTTGCATGCATTCCTAGTCCTAGTCCTAGAATTAATTTTTAACTTTAATWAAAAAAAAAATCTAATCTTACCACTTCTTTACAGAACTCCACCACATCTACTACCCGGCATGGCCAGCATGTACTCACCGACCACATCCTTCCAAACGCTGTTGGCCAATATGACKGCTGTGCCGCGCCCACCACCAGCACCGGCACAACTCAGCATCGCYGCCGTCAAACCACCAATGATGATTTCATCCCCCGAATTGCATTCACCCAATCATCTCATCGCTTCACCGCCCATCTCACCCACCTCYATGACAATGCAATCAATGGCACCACCACCACCAGCAATGGCACACTCACACACACAACAACAGCAACAGCAAGGTCAATCATCGCCGGGGCTCAACATGTCAATGCTGCATCAAGCGCCGCCGCCACCGTCACAACAAACGGCTGCGCCACAGCACACACAGTCACCGCTACAGTTGGCGCACTCACCAACACAACATCAGTCATCAACRTCCACTTCGGCCGTGGCCGCAGCGCTGGTACAAGTGCCACGCACCGGCACGCCACCCGAAGATCGGCGCACCTCATCCATTGCGGCGTTGCGTCTGAAGGCGCGCGAGCATGAGCTCAAGCTGGAGTTGTTGCGCCAAAATGGTCACGGCGACGTGCTCAGCTAGTTAAAGCTGCAGTTGCTGGCAATGGTGAAACGGTACGGCAGCGGGTTTGCACGTRGAATGAAGGGAAGCAGGGATACGGCGGAGAATTTCAGCTCAAATCAGCGCGTATGCGGAAAAAATGTCCCCAACTTTCTTCGCCTTAAAATATTTTAATTAAATTTTAGTTTATTTTATATTTTTATCATGATTTTGGTTTATCGGCCATTTGTACGTAGTTGTTTTTAAATTATTATTTTCTCAAGTATATTAACTATATATATAAATATATTCAAATAAATATGTAAAATTAGTACCAGTGCGCTCAATAAAGCAGTTTTGACATAGTCGCATATGTAGGAAATAGTATTTATATGCAACAATATATACAACTGTAGTTAGTTACTTACGTACGTATTCCATTAGAAATTTATGAAAGTTGTTTAGTTTTTGAAAATTAAATTTTATTGAAAATATGTAAAAAGTTATGCTAGCGTAATAAAAAGGGTTTGTGATATTCACAAACTGTTTAAATATGTGAATATTTAAATAAAAATTGGTGTTTTATTTATTTCATATTCAATTTTGATGCGTGACCCTGTAAAATCACTCACTACGAACGCGTCAAGTGACGTTGTTGCTTTTGTTTTTTTAGTCAACACCAAAATGTAACAAACTCTCCGAAACACTAGGCGCTCATATACACACCATAGGCAAACAAGCAAGAACAAATGTCGAAATAAAAAAAAGTTGTTGCTTTGCTTATCTTTGCGAATTGTATTTGCTTTCTGCTCTGCATTCTTGTTGTCACTCTGAGTACTGTGCGCAATAACACTGCACAAATAACTGCGCTTGCATACCTCATATTTGTAGTGGAACAAATGAAAATTGAAACGCATGTGTTCGGCATTTCATTGAAAATGGTTTGCAATTTAGTATTTATTGACTGCTACCGTATGACCTCACTWTGATTTCTCGTCGCCTGGTCGTTTGTCGATATTCGATTAATGTTTTCTATATATATTTTTTTTCGTTTGGTCGCGTTCATTCAATTCCATCATCCTCAGCAGGCAGAAAGAAAATTTTTATAAACTTGCTTGGATAATCAGGCAATCATAAATACTCATAAGTAGCATTCAACAAAGCGATGACTTCTGCAAAGGACTCCTGTCTAAAAGATGACTGACGTAAACTTTCTGTTTGCCTGTTTACAAAGCCAAGAAACTACAGATTAAACTGAGCACTGAGATTTCATAATACCAGGCCTTTTGTGGCCCCGCGAGTGTTGTATGATCTGCATAATTTTGGTTAATAATATAAATTTTCAGACATATGATAAGCAGGCGCTTAGAAAAATAAATAAGCTCTCAGCCGCATATCCTTTGTTGTTGTTAAAAGTAATTTATCATTACATATTGCTTTATAACAACAAGGATCTTCATAATACTTGGCACATATTTTGTTTGTGTTATAAACAAATTGAACTGATCTCCATYGAGTTGTACTACTATATTTTATGATTGCCGGGTTGATAGCTAAAACCAGCACTAATTTTATACTAAATAATTTTACTCAATTCCTCCCACACACTACRTCCTACTAAATCTTTTTTCTTTCATCCATGCTAAATTGCTTTTAAATCGGTCAATCGGCACTGACAGGCAAACAGGTACTCAGCAATTAAATAAGCAATTTTTTGTGCACGCAGCCTGTAACGATTGTTTTTGTTCACACTTTTCTATTCTTATTGAGTAATTAGTACTAGTAACTTCATTTTTTTTTTTTGTTGTTTTCTGTTTTTGTTGACACTTTTCTATGCTAATGCATGTGTGCACAAAGAATGCACAAACAACAGCGAAAGGAATGCGCCTAACGGCGTACGCAAGAAATATACTCAACATAGGAACAGCGAGAGAAATGTGAAACTTAAATTTGTTGCTGCGTTTATGGAAATATGCACACATTACAATTTCCTGTTAAATTATTGTTGCATTTATGGAAATATGCACAAATAACAAATTTCGTGAAGTGATCAAGGCTACGTTTGCAAGACTTGCTGCTTTTTATGATTACTTGGTGGCGTATTGAGAAATTCGTGTGCGAGTTTATTTTGTTCTTCTTCTTCATTTAAGAAATTATTTGTAAAATACGACGAAGCGGTGACATCCAAACAGGTGCTCATAAGAAAATGTTGGTTACCGAATTTATTTTTCTGTGCCTACTTACGTGCAATTCTTTAAGGACGCATTGAAAATCGGAACAAATATTTGTTGTTATCCTTCATATTTAGTGGAAAAATAAATAAACAACAAAAAAAAATGTTCGTACAGAGACGTTCACTTACTTACTTCATGTGTATGCTCGCCTAGTAGATCGCGTGCAACTGGAATTTTGTGAAAAATGCTGCTTCTTCTTTTTCTTGCAATAGGACGCCCCATTACATAGTTTACGCTTCTTCCTACCTGCACTTGCTCTGCCCATTACATACATATATGGTTTAATTAAAACTAATAAATTAATTGAAATTTCAAATATAATTTATTTATAA